TGGACCTTATGTACTTTAGCACTCTTTAGTTCTCCATATCTGCAGCCTTTGATAAATAGCATCATTAAAATACATATAGTGGAGGCGGGAGCCAAGATGGCGGCGTGAGTAGAGCAGTGGAAATCTCCTCCCAAAAACACATAGAGCTATGAAAATATAACAAAGAAAAATCTTCCTAAAATAGAGACCACAGGACACAGGACAACATCCAGACCACATCCACACCTGCAAGAACCCAGCGCCTNCAAGCATAAAATACTTCCAAAGGAGTGGTTTCAAAACACATTACTATTGTAATTATTAGAACAAGTGAGTGTGTTTTCTTTCTTTTTTTCTTACTTTTTTATTCTTCCACAGCCCCCCTCCCAACAAGTCTGAACAGCCAAAACCAGAAGCCAGCACTGTGGGTTTGGGGTCCTCTAACTCCACCAGAACATTTCATTTAAGGGCAGTCATTTTGAATTGGTTATGAAGGGATTTAATTTGTTAGAAGACTTTTCAGGGGGAGTTGGTAATATCGCATATGAAACTAATAACTTTTCTACTAAATCTTCGTATACCTTTTTTTAAGTAATTCCTGTGAATACAAAGATAATGGGCATCCTTAAAGAGGAACTTAAAATATTCTGCCACATATTCTAGAATATTACTGTTTTAGAGCATTAACAGTAGCTTAACCAGATTAAACGATTTATTCTCTGTTTTCTGGACTGCACATGGGGGGGGGGCCTGACAGTTCGTCCCTCAGAGAGACACTGGGAAGGAGTGTGGGCACTGCGCCTGGCCCGGGGCAGTACTCGGGGTTTGAGTGGGATTGGGGCGCTCAGCCAGCCCCCCGTAATAGCACGAACCGACCCTGAGTGTCGTGCTCTCTCCACTCACTGTAAGTTTGTCCTAAAAAAGTCACTGTAACCACAGCAATGAAAGTTGTTATTTTTGTTGTTTCTGGACTGAATGATGTCCAAGTACCCTACAAGTTAACAGTTTTTCTTGAACTATTTGAGCTTAATATATTAGTCTGATTTTGAATTCAAAGATTGTCCAGCTGCCCAGTACAACAGATGTCCTGATTACAGCGTGCTTATTCCTAAAATGTGTGTAATTCTTTTAGCCACTTTGATAAGAAGAAAACTTCGTTTTATGATATCTACTCAGAACAGCAACAAAAGTAACATTTTTTTTCATTGAAAATGGAAAGAGAACTGAGAACTTAGACATGATCTTGATGCTGACTTAGTTATTATCTCCCATGTGAGGAATGAACCGATGGTAGAATTTTACATTTAAAAATCTGCTTGATCTCATACTTGAAAATACTCCACTTTTCCTTGTCTTAAACCAAAAATGAGGACTATTTTAGACAGAAAGAGATGCCTGTTACGTCTGTGTTTAAAAATACTGCTGATACTCCAGTTTATTTTAAAACGATAAAGGAGGCAAAGAAAACATTTTATTTTAATAATACCTGCTCAGCTTGCACCAGTCATGATCTCTGCAGATTTAATGAAGCGCTTACCAAAAGGTGTCCCTCCTGTTCCGCGGGGTGGGAATCCGGCAGTGTCCCCGCCCAGCCTGGGTTTGTCTTCTACCCGTTGCCTCACTCGCAGCAGCTCCAGCTTAAATCACATGAACAGTTGCTTGGCAGGTTTTGTTACCCTTTCATCCCTGGAGGATTTTACTCGTGTTGATTCTGGCCTGTAGATTGACAAATAGTTGCTGCTTGGCTTCTCGGGGTATTTCTTTTTTTTTCTTCCTTTTTTCTTTTTGTGCCCTTTTATCCCCCTCTCTCTCGCCACCCACCCGCCCTAACCTCTCCTCCCTGGTAACCACTAGTCGCTCCTGGGCTGCTGTTTTGTTCATTCTGTTTTGCTTTGTTTTTATGTTGCACAAATAAGTGGAATCGTAGGGTGTTCGTCTTTGTGTGCTTTTGTTTCTCGGAATACTGACTGCACCACCGCCTTACAAAACAGCAGGGGACAACGGAGAACACCTGGTGCACAGGAAGGGCCCTGCAGAGAATTCTCATATTCCGAAAGCTGGGTGAGAGCCTGGAAGTCCTGGGTCAGATTCTGGAAATGCTTTTAAAAAAAATCAGTTAAATTTCGTAATCTGACCCTTTTTCACTGAAGGGATGAATAAAAATAATTTTAAAATCTTGTTAGCTTTCTAAAATCCTTCAGACCAATCCGAGTGTCTCAGCGTGGCTCTCCTGAGGACCTGACTGGAGGGAGCGCGGAAAGCCTGGCCCCACTTTGTCCTCTGTCTCTGCCGTAGCCCGGTGCGCGGGTGGCCTCTCCCTTTGGTTCTAACCACCGCTCCACTTAGGTTTGACATCCTTCTGTTTTCTGCTTTCAAAGGCTCCCTCCCCTGCTGGTACTCTCTTCAGGGCCACAGGCAGATTTATTGTGAATAGTGAAGCCAAGACACATGACTCACACCCCATAGACACCTGCCACCCTCTCATACATACCCGGACACCTGAGCTTGATACGCAGTCAAATGAGCGCAGCTTTTCTCCCCCCACTCGTGGGTGACTCACAGTACCTGTTGCTCTTTTGCGGAACAGTTGCTATTGCCATAGAAAGATTTCTTAACTGGGCAGATAGAATCTAGTTCCTTTAAGCTTAAAGGGTCACACACAGCATTGCTGCGTGTGTTGTGGCTTGTGTGTTTTATATAGAAACATGCACACAGCTTTCAGTAGCGAGACCCTGGCTGTATTTGTATGGAGACTTTCAGATGCCATGGGTTGAGGGGGTACCCAGCAAGGACCAAGGGAGGAAAGGCCCTTTTATGTGTGGCAAGGCTGCCCCGCCAGCTTGTGAAGTCTTCCTGCAGCTGTGTGCCCAGCACAGCACAGCCCTAGGCAGAGCGGGATCCACGGGCCTGTCTAGACAACTCAGAGGTCACCTCCAGAGGCAGCTGACACAAGGGGGAAGGGCACAGCAAGGACTGGTGGGAAGTGGCAGCAGAGATGCGGGAGTAGGGCTTAGGGGGGGGCGGGTACTGGGATGAAACAATGGGGACAAATGCGTGACTCCTTCCTGCCTTTTAGTGCTACTCAGGAGGGTTATTTACGCCATAAACCAGCCCCAAGCCCCACTGGGCCTTATCTACCACCTGATTCTGTTCCTGCAGATTCTCTTTTGTTCTCTCTCCAAGGAGGAGACCCACTTGCCCAGGGAAATGCTCTACTTGAGTCCCCCACAGTGCAGGGCTTCCCAGGGGACATCCTCTCACGGGCCTCCCCACAGGGGTGGCGGAAAACAAGCTCCTGTCCTGCAGAGGCAGCCCCAGCTAGGGGCATACTGGGCGCCCCCTGCATTATTCAGATAACTTTTTGTGGCATTGACCTCAGATTTATGGGTCAAAGGAAGGCCTCTTCAGTCGTGAAATATACCAGGCCCATTCTAGAAAAGTAGCTGACTTTGACCTGAAACAAGAGTTTTGGCAGTGAGGACAATAATAACCCAAGTAAGGCGGTGGTTGTGGAGGTCAGCATTCTTGACTGGCTCTTCCGTGTTGGGAGGTGTGGGAAAGCTTTGGCTTCATGTCAGAAGACAAGCACTCCTGTCTTTCCTAGGCTGAGATGTTTTCAGTTAAGAGACTCCAGACACAGCAGGTCTGTCGGTGCTGCTGTTCTGGGCATAGCAGGCTGCAGGGACGCAGGCGACGTGGCTTGTAGTTGTGCTCACAGCTCAGACTTAGTCCGACCATCAAGGGGGCTGTAGCCAGATGGCACGGGACAAAGACCCAGGCAGGTTCTGGGGGAATCATGTGGGGCTTGCCTGTGCTTTCTCCCTTCCATTATGGGGCACAGAGCGTATCCTCCCCCAGCAGGGAAAGTCAGTGTTTCTGTCCAGGGAAGCTAGTTAGAGACACGGGGCTGGGAGGTATGTCTTGGAGATCCGTCTGTGCAGACCCAGGGCTCTACCACAGGGAAACGCAAAACTACAGTCCCGGCCGAGGGTATTCGGTGCCCAGTCCTGTGCGGAGTTCTCTGCAGGGTCACCCGTATTTCCTGCCCCAGCCCGACCATGTTGGGAGTTCAGCTTACTCCCCACTTAGCGGGCGTGGTAAGCCACGCCCAGGCCAGTCCGCCTGCTCTCCAGGCACGGGGACTCTGGGGAGCCTGAGGAAGGGGAGGAAGCCGGGGCTGGCCGAGCTCCTGTCCTCAGCAGACGGGCTCCCCGGGGTGCTGGAAAAGCAGGCCCTGTGGGCATAACAGTGGGCAGCACCAGCCCCACTGAGGCTCCAGAAAGGGCCTGACCCTGTGCTGCTGGGAAAAAGCCATTTCCCCAGACTGGCCATCTCCCCAAACTCCAGAGCGCTGGATCCCCGAGCTCGGTTCCCCCGGGCACCATCTGCATCAGCTGAGAAGACGTTAAAGTGTGCGAGTTGGTGGGCGCCAGCCTGGAACTGCTGGATCAGGGCGCGGCATGGGTCCCAGTGACCCCCCTGGGTGCGAGCTCAAGCTCGCAGGCCTGTGCTCTGTGTGGCATGGCAGGGCTGCAGGCGCTTCCCTCTGAGCCTGGGCTCAGCAGCGTGCAGCCCGCCGCAGGCTCTTGTTCAATCACTCAGTCCGTCGTCCTGAGCTGAAGCAGCCGTGAGCACTGCAGCTAATTCCTTAACCGATTCCTAAATGCCCATCTCGTCCTGGGGTCCGCTTAGGGTCCTTCTCCTGCAAAGGGTCCAGTGGGGGGCCTGTACAGGAGAAGCCCAACCCAGGAAATGCTGGAAACGCTCCAGAAATCCAAGTGCCCAGACGCCAGCCAGGGCCAGCCAGCCTTGGAAGCGGCCCTTCTGTGGTAGCCCTGGGGTCCGCCCCACTGACCCTGGCCTCAGTGACAGCCCAGCGCAGGGCCCAGACTCAGAAGCTGGCTAAGCCAAGAGACAGGGGCAGTGACAACAGGGATTTCCCAGGGGCTGAGGGAGGGGCCGAGGGGCAGCTGCCCTCTGCCTGCTGACGGACTCTCTCTCCTCTTTTTCACCCTCTCCAGTGTGGGGCCGCCTTCCGGGAGGACGACGTCACTGTGCTCAACGGCTCCAAGGAGGATGTGGAAATGCTGAGGAAAAGGATGGAGGACAGAAGGCTGAGGGCAAAGCCGGGGAAGGTAACCGGTGGTCCAGCGTCTGTCCCTCACCTTCCAGAGTCTGGGGCCCAAGAAGAGCCTTCGGTTTCTGCCTGGCCACCGCCTCTGCTTCAGAGCCGTCACACGCTTGTGGCTGCTTCGGGGCTCGCCAGGACCAGAGTGGTTTCAACACGCTAGCAGGGCCTGGGCTCTGGAAGGACGGGAGTCATGGCTGGGCTGCACTGTCGCGGGGGTGGGGGCTCAGCTTCTCAGTGAAGTGGGGATGGTGACAGCACCTGCATAGGATGGGTGAGCCGGGAGGGTCACGATCCTGACCATAAATGCTGCCCTGAGCCCAGCCAGGGCACCCGAGGTGGAGGCAGTCCCTGTGCTGCTGCGGGCAGTGGTGCTTAGAGAGCACATCCTCTGCTCATTACCATGACATAAAGGAAAGGGGGCAGGCCACCAGCATCTCTGAGAGCCTGTGCTGCCCGGATGTGAATGTCCTGGGAGCGCCCTGGAGGTGTGGGTGGGCCCCAGGAGCCTGCAGTCCCCACCCACCCCTCTAACAGCGCTGTACTGAGGAGGAGCTGAGCAGCCCTCACACAGGCTGAAGCCCCTCCTGGCCTGTCTGAGGTCCCCAGCTGGCTGTGAGTGGTGTGTTGGCTCTGGAGAAGCGCGGCCAGGGATACGGCGCTGGTGGTCTGGGTGGGTGTGGGGTGAGGGCTGTGTCCCATGGCCCTAGGTTAGAGTCACATTCTGTAAGCTCTGGAATCATTGCTTAGTGATCCAGCCCAAAAAACCCCCAAAATGTGCTGAAATCATTCCATGTCCAGTGATTCTGTATTTACAGATGATAGCTGTGGTCTTTTGTGAAGGACAGATTTTTCATTCTTTAAAAAAAACGTTAGGTTCAGAATAAATGTGAAACTTTATGTGATCAGAAGTAAGGCAAAAAAAAAAAAGCTCCGAGTATTAGAAAATCAGTGTCCTAAGGACATAAAATTAAAGGAAAAGTATCCTGCCTCTAGGAGCGTGCATTTATTGTGATGTTATGATTCAAGATTTTTCAGAGGTTTTTCTCTTTTTTTTTTAAATCACCCTAGAGGAAAGGACAGGATTTTATCACCCTGGAACAATATATAACTCATAGTCATTAGGCTTAAAAAAGCTTGAGAATATGGTAGCATATGCTGTATGCATATACACATATACATATATTATTATGTATGGGTCTAGAATTCTCAGAGCCAAATTCATTTGCATTTCCTCCTTTTATCATTTTACTTAAGTAGAAAATAATGTTTGTAAATTAATGTTTCTGTAAATTGTGCCCAAACTTTGTAATCAAATGCCAGTAGAAGTATTTTATGAAGCACTTTTATAAGATGTTAATACAACATTCATGAGAAATATTTGAAGAGCCGGGTTTAAAAGCAAATATATGTAAGTGCATTCATTCTAAGTTGGTTTCTAAATTACTGTGATTTTTGATGAAGGACAAATACCCAAAGGCATCTCTACTTGTCCTTCATTGTATGTAGGTCAAGCTAAGTTTTAAAAAGCTTTGGGAAAAATATGAAAGGGAGAGATTTATTCTAAAGGAGGCTCCTGAAGGTGTTTGTATGGTTATGAACCATTTTACTTTAGTGAGTTGTCTCCTCTGTCCCCGGTTTCTTGCCAAGTTGTTCAAAGCCCAGTGGAACTAACATGCCCCTCTTTGCAAAGTACTCACCTGAGCTTCTGGGAATGCCTCTTAGATACTGCTACCAGGATACCAAAATATTTCCCAAATATACTTGCAGCTGAAAACAGGACACAGCATATCCTCTCTGACTCTTTATATCTTTGGCCTTTCAGATAACCTCAGCTGTGAACAGAGGGTTTAGAAATCAAGTCTGTTTTTTTGAAGGACTATGTATTAAAATAGCTCAAATAGATTTGAATGCGTACCTTGTATGTGTGAAATGAAAAGGAAGATATGTATGTTTTGTGCAAGCATTACAGATCACATAGCATGTATGTACATTATAAATTCAAGGCCACTGCCTAAAAAAGGTCTTTTTTCCTTGTTTTCTGTGGTGGGAGTCTTCTGAAATAATTAGGCTGTCTTCAGCGCCACCTTTTGGATACTTAGGAAAATGGCATATATTTAAAGTAAATTCTCTGAATAAACATAAAGCTATTTGTCCTTTCTGTTTCTGAATCAGTTTTACATCAGTGTGATTTCAGAATGGTTCGTTTCAGTGCTTAAATTTTTGCTGACCAACATAAATATCATGAGTGACAGAATTCTGGTGCCTACAAATCTAACAAAGGTTAGTTATTTTTCTCCAGAGTTTAAGAGAATTGGCTAAAAGTCTTTACAGTTCAGTGAATGTCAAAGAAATTTGACACCTTTGAAAGAGAGGTACTAGAATGATTAAGAATCAGTATATGTTCATGCTGGCTGAACTTTATGTGCCCACAAATACTTGATGCTATTATCATTTAAGTGTGTATGATAGTCACCATGAACAGTGACTGTGATCGCTGAAATCTGTGATCTTCATTTCAGATTTTTTGAGAATGTGATTTTTGGCATACAAATATAAACTAAGCAGATCACTATAGATGTATCCTTGTGTGAAACAGACATGCATAACTGGAAGCACATGCGGAGCATCAAGGTTTAGAATGGACGGGGTACCCAGGTCTTCAGGGCAAGCGCCTGCTTCATACGGAGCACATGGGCCTGTCGGCCGCTGCAGTGGGGTGCTCTCCAGCTCACCCCCGACTTCCCCTTTTTCCCCACAGAAGGCAAAGAAGGCCAAGGCGGCAGAATCTGCCTCGAAACCAGATGCCAGTGAAGGTAAGACCCTAGAGGAGGTCCTCATTCCGGCAGAAGAAGGCTGTGGGCTGTCTCCTGAGCAAGCCCATGCTGCCCTTTGGTTTTTCTTTTGCTTAGTTTGTCTCTTTTACAGAATCCCCTGGACCATCAAAAATGAAGACAGGGAAGCCTGAAGAAACCCTTGATTCTGGAGAGAAGAAAAGCAGCTCAGCTCCAAAAAGCGCAGGTGGGTCCTGTTGAGGTACCAGTGAGCTGTTGGGGGAGCCGGGACTGCAGGCGGCCCTGTCATGGTTTTATCAGAGTGGATTTGAGAACTGCGGCTCATCTGGAGTCATGTCTCTATAAACAGTTCACTGGGCCGTCCTGGGGGCCCTAAGTAACAGTTAATACACCCAAAGCAGGAGCCCTGTCAGGACTGAAGGCGTTTGGGTGCAGACGGTATTCGTTCCGTTTCCTGTTGCATCTGCACTGGTGCCAAGCCAACAAGGCTGTGGGGCCCTGGACTCAGGCCTACCCCTGAGACTGCGTGGTGGAGTCAGGCTTGGGTCCCGGGCAGGGATGTTCCTGACCCCTCAAGGTGAGATTTCACGTGCATCACGTGTGGCACCGAGGGCCAGCCTGCTCTCCACCTGCCTTGAAGCCACGTGTCAAAGAGCCGTTTGGTATATACTCCAGAATCCAGTGTTTTTCTCCTGAAACACTCTACCTTTAACTCAAAGTAAATAGTACTTACTTCACACAGACACAGCCCCACAGATTCAAGCTTGTGCGCTCTTGTGTTGTGAAAAGATCCACAGAGGCTCATGGGTTCCAGTGCCCACCCTGCACACAGCAGCACCTGCCTTGGGGGCAAGTCACTTGGCCTCCTGGCTTCTGTTCCTGTGAAACAGGCCAGTAGCAGCCCCCTTGTGAGGAGGGTCTGACTTGCACCATTCATGGGGTTGGGACCAGTGCTGAGACTATAGGAAGTCATTAGTGCAATTTTAAATAATAGACTTAAATCTAGTAACATTGTCTGTTCTTAGGAATGGGCTGTGGAGGTGGTATGGCTCAGCATTCATCCCGAGAGAGGAAGAAGAGAATCCCTGGGATTAAAGGGTTTACCTTCTTTCCCCTTTGAGAGTGTGATGTTTGGAGTGATCTGGTCCCAACCTTACAGCTTTTGGCTTTTCATTTTTGCAGCATCAAGTGGGGGCTCGTCTGGGAAAGCTGGGGAGCCCCCGTGTGGGGCCTCAAAGAGGTCCATCGCCGACAGCGAAGAATCTGAGGCCTACAAGTCCCTTTTCACAACCCACAGCTCCGCCAAGCGCTCCAAGGAGGAGTCGGCCCACTGGGTCACCCACACATCCTACTGCTTCTGACGCCCAGGCAGGCTTGGCTTCTGTTTGGGCAGGGGGCGTGGGCGTGGGCGCGGGCTGTCCTGTGCGTCCTCTGCGTCTCCGCTGGCTCCGTGTTACAGTTGTCTCCCAAACCTGGGAGCCTGTGCAGTATGTGTATTCCCGGAGAGGGTGTGGGTGGTTTGTATGGTTAAATATACATAAACATTTCCAAATTCTGTTGTTTGGAGTCATGTGTGTAAATCAAGTCTGTTTGCCCTCTACTGCATCACACCATAACTGCCAGATTTTACAGCACTCTGTGGGGCAGTTGACTTAAAATACAGGGTACATGCAGATGTGCTGCAACTCAGTGTACTCTGCATTCACAGCTCAGATGAACAGGAACAACTCGGCTATCCGGCATGAGCCTCTGACGGTCACAGGGCACGCCGTCCTGCCCATGGCCATAGGCGTTAGGCCAGCTGCTTCCCATATGGGCAACTTAAGTAGTAGCCCCTCATGATGAATGGATTTATTTAGCTGCTATTTTCTAATCAACCCTTTGGACTTGAATCTCCACAAGCCCCACCTGACCAGCTCCTGCAGGAAGCCCCCCGTGCCCTCCTCACCGGCAGCACGGAGCATCAGCAGCCTGACACCACACTGTCTTCCCTGGGTGGTTTCCATCTTAACAGAACATCTTTGCTGCTGCCCAGAGCTCAGCATGGTTGGCGGCCCAGAGAGGTGAAGCTCCGCAGAACGCTTTATTCCTAGGGAGAGAGTCTGAATCAGATGACCCAAGGGAACAGGTACAAGCCTGTGTTCCATTAACCTGGATTTTACTATTTCATGTCATTTTTAAAACTGAAGATTTCAAGTCCAGTGAGCCCTAGTTTTACTCCTGGCATCAGCCTCAGTGTCATACAAACTGGGTCCTTCTCACCTTGGGGTCTTCACCCAGGCCTTGGTGCCACCGCCTCCTCCCCATGTTATCCAGCCAACTCCTGACCAGGCCTCAGACAATACCTGAGTGACCTTTTGGGGAAAACCCTCCTGCATAGTCTAACCTAGCACCATCCCCTTGTGCTATTCTCTTTAAGTCCTCTGTTCTTACCACAACTTTAATGAAATTATACTGTTAATTAATGCAGGGATACACACTCAGGTATAGTCAGAGCATGCGAGTGCGAGGCAATAGGGAGTGGTAGGGACTGGAGAGAGTGTGGCTGTCAGGAGACCCTGCTTCTGTTTGGCTCCAGCTGAGGGTGGCCCAGTGTTAGCAGATCTTCCATATTTGAAAAAGAAGCCAGAACTCTTGGTTTTAAAAGTGAAGTCCCTCCCAACATTTAAATATTGGCAAATAATTATTTTAGAAACAAGGCAGACTAAACAAAACACATCAGTGGCTCCTAGTTCGTAGCCTATGGTTCAATATCCTTCTTCCCCACTCGCTTTCAGTTCCACAGGGACACATGCCACGTCTGCCCGCGCACTACATTGTCTGGATTCAACAAACAAAAAACAGACACAGGTGATGGCCTCTCCCAGGAGAGCACCAGTCAGACAGAACCTGGCAAGGAGGTGGCATTCCATCATTCCCATCCTCTTACTGCCTGCTGGAAATTTCTCCTCTCCTTCTAAGCCCCGCTCCCAGGCAGCCCCTTGTCCTGAACACTGAGGTCATCACTATGGCCAGAGCTGCACTGTGACATCACAGGGCCTCTGTGACATCACCAAGGGCGCGGCCCGAGGGAGGCGGTCTCCAGGTATGAGGGCAAACACTCCAACCATGTGGACACGGAAATGGTTCTTGTTCTTGCCTCTGTGCTTTTCCTGCACCTACACCTTCATGTTTTCCTTTCTGAGCAGCAAAGCCAAAGAACCCCAGGGGAAGGTACCCCACGGAGGGCACTTTCGGATCAGGCAGGGACTACCGGAGCACACCCAAGGCTGGCTTGGGAGCATATGGCTCTGGCTTTTCTTTGTTATGCTGTGCGTGATACTGAAATTTCTAGGAAAGAGTGAGAACAGTAAGGTAAGGGGGGCTCCATTTTTTATACCACTTGATTCCATCTCAGACATCTGACTCAGAGAAACAGATGTTCTGTCGTTAGAGCAGGGCCATTAGGTATAAGGAGTCAGGATGCAAAGTGCCTGTCGCAGTCCTGGGGAAACATTGCAGAGTCATTCCCTGACGTATCCTTAGGGAAGACACTTTTCCCCAAACTCACAGAGGTTGAGACTAACAGTTGAAGAAAATCTTTTCTTTATTGGGTGAATAAACCTTGGCTCAATATTTGTTCTGTTAAATGAATTTTTTTTCAAAATTGAGGATAGATTCAAAGCCTAGTGTGTTTCAGGTCAAAATTATTTGCAGATGGATAAAGAAGATGTGGTACATATACACAATGGAATATTATTCAGCCATAAGAAGGACACAAATCCTACCATTTGCAACGACATGGATGGAGCTAGAGGGTATTATGCTCAGTGAAATAAGCCAGGCGCAGAAAGACAAATACCGAATGATTTCACTCATGTGGAGTATAAGAACAAAGAAAAACTGAAGGAACAAAACAGCAGCAGAATCACAGAACCCAAGAATGGACTAACAGTTACCAAAGGGAAAGGGACTGGGGAGGATGGGAGGGAAGGGAGGGATAAGGGGGATAAAGAAAGGGGGCCTTACGATTAGCATGTATAATATGGGGGGTGGGGGCACGGGGAGGGCTGTGCAACACAGAGAAGACAAGTAGTGATTCTACCGCATCTCACTACGCTGATGGACAGTGACTGTAATGGGGTTTGTGGGGGGGACTTGGTGAAGGGGGGAGTCTAGTAAACATAATGTTCTTCATGGAATTGTAGACTAATGATAACAAAATAAAAAGAAATACATGATAAATCATTTAATAACTGATAGCAACTAGCAGACATGTAATAAAAGAATAAAGTAACTAAAAAAAAAAAAAAATTATTCGCAAAGCCAGATTCACTACCCCTGATTTTTCGTTTCCCCAGCATTTGACTTACTGCAAGTTGCTGAACGAAATAGAAGTGGTGTCATTTATCCCCAGTAAAGGAAAAGACCTGTTGGACAGGGATAAAGATGTGAAGAAGTGACAAGCTGACCCCTAATGTGGCACAAGAACTCTCAGAAGGGGAAGGAAGAGAGAGAACCACGCGTTCTCTCCCAGACAGACCCACCACTTCATGATGGTGTGTCCAGACCAACTAGAGCAGGGTCGGCCACACTTTTCTCTGCAGGGCCTGGTATTTTCAGCGTTGCAACTCATAAGTCCTCTGTTCGACTACTCAACCCTGTCGTCTTAGCATGAAAGCAGCTGTAGACCACATGCAAATGAATGAGAATGACTCTGTTCTGATAAAATTTTATTTACAGAAACAGACGGCAGGCCAGATTTGGCCATAGCTTGCCGATCCGTGGACTGGAGCGCAGTGCTAGAATCTTATCTTTCCTTGGGTGAGGCCAACTCTGGGAACTGTGGCAAAAGCAGCAACGTCGATGATGTCACTCACCCTGCATGTCTTTCTTGACAGGAGCCAAATCCTCGTGACCTTGGAGGCTGTTCATTACACTCTCCACTAAAGAAAGATCAAAACGCTTCCCCCAGTCAAAGCCATGCATTCAACACCCTAACCGAGCTCGAGATGGACCTTATCAAATTAGTGTCCAAAGTGCGGAATCTGAGAGTCGCCATGGCAGCTGGCAGTGACCCCGAGCTGCAGAACTTGGAGATGCCTGAAAACCCACACAATGTTACCATTTATGACATATGGTGTGAAGACTGATTGAATGGATTCAGGTATCCCAAGTAGGAGAGAAAAGGTTGAGTGTTGACAGACTAATAAAAGTATTCTGAAGAAAAAGAATTCTGGAATTTGAGACCTTTTTCCCCTTTTTCCTCTTTTTCCAAACTTGAAGAAAAAAATAAATGTGGGACCAGCAGCCATGGCAGTTGTTTTCTTTATTCTGCCTTTCTTACTTGCTGTAAGCTGAGCTGTGACATGGCATCAGCAGCGACATAGCAGATAGGGGGATGAAGGGGCAGTTCTGGGCTCTGGGGGACGAAGGGACGGTTCTGGGCTCCAGCTCTGCAGCCTCTGTGGGATGATAAGGTTTGGGAAATGTGAGATAAGATGCTGATACTGTTTTCATGGTAGCTATCTTTACAGTAGCTATTTGTGTAAAAGATGGGACCAGGTCTTATCTCTAATTTATTACATTACAAAGGACAACCTTAATTATAGGTTTAAAAATGATAAAATGATTGAATTAGGAGGGTGTGTGTGTCAAGGGGACGGGAATCCTAGAGTCATTTGATTTTCTTAACCACCAGAAAAGTCGTCCTAATCATTGAATCTCATGGATTACGTGTGTTCACTCTTTCTTCTACCAAACTGGCAGTTACATGTCTAACTGGACTAAGAAAAACAGAGAAACAGCCCATATTCTCAATGTAATTTGGATACAGATGAGCTAATCAGGGATTCCCAAATTAGTTGATATGAATGTTCTTTATAATATTTAAAAAATGAAAATACTTAAAAAATTTTTAAATATGGGTATTTTGGCATGTTTGTATGGCCAATGGAAACTGTACTTACTCAAGGCTGTTAGCTTACCGACCCCTGGCCGAAGCCCACTTGATAATGTCATGGATGTGCAGATGCGGACCTAGAGAGCAGTTTCTGGGGGAAACCACGGAAATTCCCTTATTTCTACTTCAGTCCAAATGAAGGTGTCCTTAATCTCCATTCCCTTCCGTTCCAGCCGCAAAGAGCGAATTTCCATGACTTGAGCTGAGTCTTCAGGACCTGCCCTCCCACCGGGTTTAGGCCTCAGATGAGAGCTGCCCACTTCCCCCTTGTCGTTGTCTGTCTTTGAGGAGTGGTCCCTGGACCCTTCACTCTGGTCTTGACCAGTTTACAGGGTGGGAGTAGTGGGAGGGGCCGAGATGACTCCTCCCTGCCTTCTGTATTCTCAGGGTTAGCAACAAACAGGCCATGGGAGTTATTTTCCCAGCACGCTCTGAAGAAGTTCAGATAAGCAAATCTTTAACTTTTAACCTGTGATCTGCATATGGGACAGATTTTAGATCAGAATGGAGACAATCTAAAAGGCCAGGGGTCAGCGAACCATGGTTCATGGGACAAATCCAGTCTTCATGTGGCCCATGAGCTTGTAAAAACGCTTTGTATGTTTTCAAATGGTTGGAGGAAATAAAGATGAATAATATGACATGCAAATTACATGAAATTCGAATTTCAGTGTCAATAATTTTATTGGAACAAAGCCACGCTTGTTCATTTACATATTGCCTCCGGCTGCTTTTGTGCTCAATGGCAGAGTTGAATAATTGCACCAGAAACCATATGGCCCACAACACTGAAAATATTTACTAACCAGCCCTTTATAGGAAAAGTTTGCCAATCCCTAGTTTATGCTAATCTTAGTTATATATTAGCACCCAGGAAGAGTGTTAATTAGGAGCAGATACATTCACCTGTAATGTTCACAAACATCCCATATTTGTCTGATAGGCAAAAATGTAATTTTATAAATTATATTTGTAGTTCTGCCCAGGACACGGACAACTAAAGATGGAGATCCGAAGAAGGAGCAAAAATCACAATTCCTTAGAGCAAGTTGACTGAGGATATAAATTAGAACAAAATCTGCTGTGCATTTGGATTTAGCCGTTCCCGTAAAATAGCGTCCCTGAGTCTGCCTTGCCTGATACAGAACTCTGCAGACCGCGGTTTTGCCTAGACGGTAGTGTTTCCTCAACCCAGTGAATGTCATGCAATATTTTCATGCAAAAATGTACTGGATGTAGATTTAGGAAGTAGAGCTTAACAGATTCAATTCTGCTATTGTAGCATAACTCACATTCTAATGTCACCGCACCGTGGTTTCTGAGAAGCAGTTGGCAGGCCAGTGGTAAGAACTGGACGACTGTCGAATCTGTACCTGACCTCCTTCGGGGCTCACTGGGTGGTTAGCAGAGCTCCTTTCCCAGAGGTGCAGCATTCATGGCCACTTAGAAGATTAAGAGCGCCAGGCTCTCAGTCTTACACAGTGTGAGGAAATCACAGGAGTGATACCCCACCGCCTGCCATGTTCTGCTGATGAGAAACGTCACTCCAGGGAAGAGCTTACACCTGTGTGTGAGCACGAGGATTAGCCCCAAGGCAGCCCCACTGCAGAGAGGGGGCTGCTCCAGTGTGAGGTGACAGGGGACTCACGGCAGTGCCCACCAAGCAGCACGAGAGGGCAGTGGACACATGGCTCGGCATGATCGCCCACAAGGCCTTTTCACATCCTGGGCGTGGGCCTGAGCAGAGCTCCAAGATGACCCCAGTGGCACCCGGCCTTGTGTGACCTCTCTGCTAAGTGTGGTCAGGAGCGGGGACTAGAGATCACCGGCGGCATATGATCTCCATCAGAGCTGAATCTGTCTACTGGTGGCTCTGAGGAAGCCAGCCGCCATCCTGTGAGGCGGTGGGTCATGCGGCGAGGACATAAGGGCAGCCTCTGGGGTCAGAGCACGGTCTCCAGTCAACAGCTGGGAAAATCCCAGGGGCCTCAGTCCTACAACTGCAGCGGGATGGATCCCGCAACCACCCGAGGCCTGGAAGAGGCCCCTGAGTCAGACGGGGCCCAGCCCCAGCTGACCCCCTCGCAGCCTGGTGAGACCCTGAGCAGAGGAGCCAGCCCTGCGCACATACTCCTGACCCACTTTTCATGAAACTGCAAGGCCATACACATGGGTTGTTTTAAGCCACTGCGTCTGTGGTACTAGAAAATCATGACAGCATGTGTATACACACAAACACACCAAATCTCTCCATCTGCTGTTCCTGAAAGCTAGGACACTTGGGCCTTCCCCCTGACCTAGTCACCTGGCTTCCGAACCAGAGGAACATGAGCCGAGGATCACGAATGGGAATGTCCTGTTCCTCAAAACCAGGGTCACCCACTGTTGGCCCAGGCACCACACCTCTCCCTGCCCCTGTCAGGTTTGACCCACAGCCATTTTTCAGACTTTTTTTTTAAATTGATTTGTTTTTATTTTTATTTTTCAAACGTTTTATTTTGAAATAATTATAGGCTCACAGGAGGCTGCAAAGGTAGTACAGAGAGTCTCCTTGTACCCTTCAACCCCCTTTTCCCAGTGGTTACGGGAGCGCCAGGCACTCCGGCACAAGGGCAAAGCCAGGGATGTGGCACTGCGGCAATGTGCAAGGGCTTCTCTACCAATACCCTCTCTGGAGGTTCTAGATTCCTGCGACCAGCTTCCTATAACTGCCATCAAGATACAGGACTGTTCGATGGCTGCACAGACCTGCTGCCCTGTGTAAACTCACCAGAACTGCCTCTGCCACCCTGAAGCCCTGGCAACTACCGATTTGTTTCCATTTCTATGATTTTGTCATTTAGAAAATGTTGTGTGAATGGAATCATACCATTTGCGCCCTTTGAGATTGGTGTTGTCACTCAGCAAAATCCTTCAATATCCATGCCAGTGGTTGCAGGCACTGAGGCCTGGGGCCTGTCTCTTGCTGAGGACCTTTAACCTTCCATGTGTTGAGGGGCATTTCGGCTCTTACAGGTAGAGCTGCTTCAAAGAGTCACATACAGGTGTTTGTGTGCAGATACATTTCCATTTCTCTGGATAAATGCCGAGGTGTCCAATTGCTGGTCATACGGGAAAGGTATGTTTTGGCCTCCAGTAATATTTTTTAAATCTTAGATTAGCAGCTGACACTTCACATTGAGATTTCACATTATATTCTAGTGCGGGAGACACAGTAAATCAATAAGTCCCTATAAAATGCAAATAAACATAATGCAAGCTGCCTGTTTCCTAGATGTACAGCCTCTGTGCCTTCCCACGGTCCTTATGGCAGCACCCAATCATGCCTCCCTGGCCCACCAGCCTGGCGGGTTCCCATGCCCTCCTAGCTCTCTGACCTGTCTCCTCCCAGCTACCCTAGGCCAAACCCATTTCTGCCTCAGGACCTTTGCACATGACTGGGTAAGCTTCTCCTCCAGTTGTCATACTGCTGGCTGCTATCCTTGTCATCTGATCTTTGCAAAGAGGCCCCTCCTCAGGCCTCGTGACCCTCAGCTAATGGGGATCCTGCCCTACCACTGTCCCCACATCACTCTGCCCTAGTTTGTCTTCTCTGTAGCACCATCACTATGGGACGTGATTGCTTTCTATCGACCCATTTCCTGTGTGTCCCTGTACTCCTGAGGACAGAGATGGTGTCTTGTGGTTCCTGCCACGTCCTCAGTATCTGGAACAGAGCTTACCGCATAAAGGGTACTCAATATAGATTTTTTTTGAACCTTCGATTTGGAACTTAACAGAAAACTCTTGACAACAGCACAGACTCCCACATGGCCCCATCCGGCTTCCTCTAATGTTGGCCTCTATGTAACCATGGTAGAATCATGAAAACCAAAAAGGGTAATACTGGTTCAATACTGTTAATTAACTAATATGAGCTTCATTTCCCATCACACCCTGTTTCTGTTCCAGGATCCAAGCCAGAATTCCACGCTGCGGTAGGTCAGCCACCTCAGTCTCCTCCGTGCGGCACAGGCCTCAGCCTTGTCTTTTCAAGACCTTCACCCTTGTGACGAATGGTGATCAGCCACTTGCTAGAATGTCCCTCCGTGTGGGCTGAATGATGTTTTCTCACGGTAGGAGAAAGGTTATGCATCTTGGGCAAGAATGCCAGAGAAGCAGTATGTCTTCTCAGCGCACCACACCCAGGTCCGGGTTGTGTACGTGCCCCATCATTGATAATAGTGGCCTTAAATCACTTCAGGTGGTGTCCGCTGGGCTTTTGCACTGGGAGGTGGGGATTCTTGGAGGACCCTCTGAGGCTGTCCAGGGCTGCCTCCTCCAGCTCTGACCCGCTTGAGCATCTGTGAGCAGGTCAGTGGAGTTGGTACATGCCTGATGGTGGTTTTGACTTTCCTCTTTCTACACTTAAGTATAGGACAGCTTTGCCCCCCCACACACACACTTATTTTATTCGTTTATTTTATAGTTACTTATTTTATCATATAAAAATTCAATATTGTTATTTTCTTGCTCAGACTTCCCCAACTCTTTCAGGTTGGCTCCTGTGTGCTTTGAACACACCCCCATCCTCTTTTGAGCTATTCTTACTTTCTGGCCACCCAAGATGTTCCAGGATCACCTGGTCTGTTCCTGCCTCTGCCCTTGAATCAAACATTTCTCCAAAGAACCCGTGCTCCTTGTATCGAGGGATGGTGCTTAGCACCTGGTTTCCGTAGCCGGGTGTGCTCGTCCGTCCTGGGCTGTCATTGCTCCTGGGCCCTCTCGGCAGACAGAGCTAGGAAACGTGTGTGTGTCTCACCCCACCGGCCCCCCATGTCTGTGCTTCTGTACCTGTATCTGTATGTATGTCAAATGCTGTGACTTTATCTTGGTCTCTCTGACTCCAGTCCAACACCTCAGGGTCATTCTAGCCATCCTCCTGTCCCCTATTGATAGCTTCTTCCTCCAAGAGTGAGAAACCCACTTTCATGATCTGTATTTACTGATTTCTTCAATTCTAGAACACACATAAAGTAGAGCCAGAGTTTCGAACCCAGCCCCCACACATTTATGTGCAAAATCCCATCCGAAGGCTCTCGTCCAGAGCTCCCCAGGCAGTTCTTTTTCTTGCCCACCCCACTGCTGGGGTTGGTGATTCCTTGGTCGTGTGTGAGGCCTGTTTGTTAAAGTGTATGTGTTCCAGTTCAGGTTCCACCACATCATGGTTGGCTTTCATTGCTGGTTTACCTTTTGAGTATGTGAAGGAATGTGAAATATAATGATGGCTCTGAGAGTCAAAGATTTAGAAAGAGATATGCCAGCGGGCGGCTGCTCTTTCCTTGCCCAGCAGATGCCAGGCCCCCTCCTCTCCACCCCTTGCCCAAGAAGCCCTGTAGGTAATCTTCTTCCTCGGTTTCTGTCTTATCCATCCTGTATTTCTTTTGCACACATGAACAGATACATGTATGTTTTCTTACACTACCTCTTTTTCACATGAATGTAACGTGCTGTCGATATTCTTTAGGGCTTTACTTAACAGAAAGCCCTGGATATTGTGTCATTTCGCTGCACAGACATCATCCCTACTTATCCCTATCTTTCTTACGCTGCGTTGTGCTCCATTGTGTGGAGTACCAAAACAGAGAGTAGTTTGCTCAGTTA